TCGACCTAATAGCCCATTTGAAGGAGAATTTGGCCTTGCTGCTACTGGTGGACTTTTTATTAACATAGCAGAATATGGACTAAATCCATCTACTGAATCTAGTGGGGGTCAAAATGCACATACAGCTCGATCAAAAGGAAAAGCCAAGAAGCACCACTATGATATTTCTAGACGTCCTTCATCTTCAGGTAGGAGATAAAATTTTGGTAACTTTGAGTATAGTGAATCATCTGTTAGTACTCAAGGATGTTACTATCTACCGAAACAACCTAATTTTCAACCTCCTCATGATTATCCACCTTTATATAGTTATTATTCACCACAAATGTATCCTCCACCTCAAATGTATCCTTCACCTCAAATGTATCCTCTACCTCAAATGTATCCCCCACCACAAATATATCATCCTCAAATTTATCCTCCACCTCAAATGCATTAAGAACAAAGGCCATAGGGATGGGGATGGAGTCAACTTGACTTTCAAAATAAAAATAGAGAATTTGATCCTCCTCATCATTCTACCATGTGGTAAATTTTGAAGTATATATATATCAATAGTTATAGTTGATAGAATTTGAAATTATTATATTTTTAAGTTTGTAATTTTATTAAATATAGATGCTTGGTATTTAATATATTATGTTTTGTTAATATCTTGATTTGTCTAGAATTAACATTGAATATGAACTTGGCTCAAGTAAAAATTTTGTTGCTTAATCAAATATGAATGTTTTATTATAATCTAACTAAAATTGTGAATATTTTTTTTAGAAAATAAAAAATATAGTATGATATATTTTAAAAATCATTAAATAAAAGTTTTTATGATTATAATTATAATTATTATATTTTATAAAAAATTGTGTGAAATTAAAAAAAAATTCACGACCGCGATGACCTTGATAACTGCAATGATCTCCGTTATATCTTAAAATGCGATAAACACGATACGATAAAAAATGTGGCCGCGACCGTTATTTAAATCCATGACTGACACCTTATTACATAGGGTGCTAAAAGCCAAATATTTCTTTGTAAAATCTTTTATGGACTCCAACCTCTGCAACTTCCTTTCTTTAACGTGGAGAAGTGTTTGGACCATAAAGGCTGTCTTCCAACAGGGTGTTCGGTGGAGAATAGGAGATGGGAAGATAGTACGAATATGGAAGGACAAATGGATGCCATTCATCTAAACTTCAAACCAAGTTTGCTAAGGGGGAGTTGGGATGAGGATGAAAGGGTGGCAACACTAGTTGATGAACAATCACGGTGGTGGAAATGATAGACATTTCAAGAAAGATTCTCCACAGAAGAGGCAGAGGCAGTATTCTCTATACCACTCAGTAGAATTGGTTGACCTGAAAGGCTGGCATGGAGTTTCGATAATTCTGGTCTCTACACAGTTAAGAGCACCTACCGATGTTATGCAACTCAATAGATGCAAATGAGAGTGGTGGAGGACATCAACAGGGACGGAGAGCACAAAATCTATGGAACAGAATCTGGTCAACACAGGTACTAACAAAGATGAAACTTTTCATGTGGAAAGTGTGCAAGGAAATCCTTCCAGTAATGCAAAATTTGTTGAGAAGGAAGTTGAAAGCTGATAGAAACTGTGTCCGATGTGGAGATTGGCTCATGATATAATGGAATGTGATCATGCAAAAGAAGTCTGGAGGTGTTTAGGTTTTCACCGTGATGAAAGGATAAGGGGAAACATGCATATGACAGAGTGGAAAGGGAAAATTCTGGAATATCTATCGAAAGAGCAGAGACAGCTAATGACCATAACCGTATAGGTGATATGGAATAACAGAAATAATGAGCTGTATGGTGAGCAGAAGAGGAACCCGACTGTGTCAGCAATGTTTGCAAAAAAAATACTAGCAGGATTTCATTAATGCTTAGCAGCAACCCTTAAGCATGCAAACATTGAGAAAGTAGGGATGGGAACCCCTACCCAGTGGTACTTACAAAATTAACTTTGATGGAGCAGTAAACAAGGGACAGAAGATGGGAGGTGGTGGTGTGATAATAAGAAACTCTGGTGCATTGGTAATAGGAGCACTTACCAACAACTGGCCAAGGATAACAAACCCTTAACCATCGAGGCTATTGCGACAATGTGTGCTATGGATTTTGCAAGGGAGATGGGATTCGAAAATGTGATATTGAAAGGTGACAGTATAACAGTAATGTCAAAACTCAAAGTAACAGACTTTGATTTCTCGCCTATTGGAATCTGATTGAGGTAGCAAGGAAAAAGATACAACAGATTAGAACTGTCAAGATAAATCATACTAGAAGAAAAGGCAACAAAGCGGCACATCGTGTAGCTAAGCTTGGGGTAGATTCGTAGGAAGCCACCTATTGGGTAGAGGATTGTCCTGATCAAGTTGAAAACATTGTTATTGTTGATGCAAACTTTAATCATAAATGAAAGTTCTTTAATTCAAAAAAAAAAAAAATTGCTAAACAAACACTAATGAATTAATGGGCAAAAAAGAATTGGCAAAGGAATCATGAATACCATTGCATGAGTTATATTAGATTCTAATGTGTTGAAACATGGCTATATATTGTTTTTTATTTTGCTTGGTAAGATCAAGTAAATTGAAGCATTACAGATTTGCTTACCTTCACAAAGAAATAAAGAGCTTGGTTGGATTCTCTAGTTAAATAAAACAAGCCGAGGTTAGCAAAAGAAGCAAGAAAGTGTATAAATCCAAGGCAAAAAAAAAAATAGCAGGTGGTGATTGAGAACTTCACCCGATGACTATGTATCTCGAAGGCGAGTGATTTCTCTTCTAAATCCAGAGAAAAAGTTGAGAACAGAGAAGTTAGAGAATCGAAATTCCTCTCTCAAAGTATACTGGACTTGCTCAAGGCTCAGATAGGTACTCTGCAAATGGGCATGAAGTTGTATCTTAAACAAGTGTCAATATGCATGCAAATGGTATAATTCTCTCTGAAATATAAAAGTTGGGAGTATAAAAGACTTTGTTCTTCCACTTTAGAAAAGCAGAATGAACTTGAATATAAAGAAGCAATAATTAAAAAACAAGTGGCGGCATAAGGAACTACCAATTAAGCTTTCCAAGTAGCCTAGCCATCTTTGGCATATTTTTTAATATATCCTAATTAGCATATGATTGGTGTGTGTTTATAAGGCTGATTGGTGTGTGTTTATAAGGCAAAAATCCTATTTCTAAGTGATTTAGGAGTGCTTGTTCCTTAACATTATAATTCTATTGATCGGTTGGTACAATTCAAGTCGGAATATATTGTAGACTGCAACAAAGCAAAGGGATTAGAAATTAAGTGCACGAGAAGTTGCTCTTAGAAGTTCTATTCTTAATTGCACAAGGAATGTGCACACCAATTAAGATTAATTAAAATTTTTTTAAATGACATTATTTATTGCATGTGGAACAATGACATCATTAATTAATTTTATAATTAATTAAATATGTCTTGAAGATAAATACACTTGATTTGGCCAATCAAAATTCATCTATGAGTCAGCCAATTTATCTCTTAGTTAAATTAAAATAATTTAGGGATAAATACAAATTTTGACTAATCGAATTTCAAGGATTTATCGGTTATCCAATCAAATTCCACCTATAAGTCATTAGATTTTAACTCTAATTAAACTGTAGTTTTTTAGAGATAAAATCAAAGAAGTTACATTCTTTTGAAACTCTCTCATCCAACATCACCTGGCATTATAAATAGAGAGCACTTCTAAAAGATCAAAGAGAATTCTCTAAGGAGAAAGAAGATGATCTTTCATAGTTCCAAGAATGAAGATCTAAAGATCAGGAAGACAATTTTTGGAGAGTGAAAATCTGAAGATCATGAAAGCAGTTCTTGAGAATGAAGATAAAAAAAGACTAATGTAGGAGAGAAGATTTGAAGAATCCAAGTCTCCAAAACTTTCACAAGTTCAAGATGGAAAATCTAAAGAATAAAGTCTTCAAATTCCAACTAACAAATCCAAGAAAAAAAGATCTGAAGATTAAAGCCTCTATTAATGAATCCCTAGAAGGGAACCAAGATCCAAAATTCCCTAAATTGGGAGTAAATTCCAAGATGTTAAGGAACTCCAAATCTCTTCAGCTCAAGAATAAGTTTCAACAACTCTTGAACTGAAGCCATACTCTTTCAATTCAAGAACTAAGTCCCAATGATCCTTAAAGTGAAGTCCATATTCCTTCAATAAAAGAATAAGTCTTCAAAGACCCTTGAAGCGAAATCCATATTTTTTCAATTTAAGAATAAGTCATCAAGACCTTCGAAGAGAAGATCAAATTTATTCATTCAAGATCAAATCTTTTATACCCTAGCAAATTTTTGCTAAATAAAGAATCAAAAGATTTTTTTTAATAAGAATTTTTAAACTTTGTATTTTACAAAGTTGATAAATAAAATTATTATTTATATCCAATTTTCCTTATCTATTCTCGATACGAAATTTGCGTGTACAGGGAGAGCTACAGCCAACTTATGGATATAATGCTATTCGAAATTCATTATAACTTATAAAAGGGACAATAGATAGATATATAGAAGGTGATATAAGATAAAAATGTGTGAAATGAGTGACAATTAGGGGCATAAGATAACTGAATTAATTGGAAAGGGCTAGTTGGCAGCTGGTTACTGTTAAGCGTCCAGAAACACAAATCAGCACCTGCGAAGGAGACAACAAAGTGGAGCGGTTTTAATTTGTCTCATACAAAGACAATATGTACATTTCTTTCCTTGCTTTTTCATGTGAACGAAGCTAGCTAGAGGCGCCTAAATTGTAGCCCCCGAAATAGCTGCCATTTTACTTCTTGTCTTATGCACATTTGCAGCCTTTTCATAGAAAGAGAAAAAGCAACCTTCTTTTGTCTCTGCTGCTTCAACAGGACCACTGAACATCAATCTCCATCCTCTCCCCCTCCCCCCCACCACCCCATTCCCCATTCCCCATTCCCTTTTATTGTAGGCTTGTAGCCCCAGAATAACCTCTACTTAATGTAGCACTTTAAGACATTGAAGTCCACGCTTGTTTCAATCCTCCAGCCCGGTTGAGGCCCAGGCCGTGGCAAACACTGAGTTGTGACCTTTCCATGTGAGAACCAGCATGTTGTCCTCTCTCTTCATGCCCCATCCGCTGGCATGTTCATCTAGCAGGGATTTAACTTCTGCAACGGTCTCTTCACAAAATGGAACGCTAAAGAAACCGGAGCTCTTCATCCTTTGTGACAATTTTGCACCGGATTCTAACCTCTCTATCCTTTGAAATCCTTCAAAACTGATGATGTTTTCAATTTTGTGACCAATATCAGATTCATACTCTAGCCTTTGGTTACTATCTTTGGGCAAGAAAGTCTCCAATGCGTCAAAGGGTATCCAAAGATAATTGAAGCAAGTTGTGATCCTTGACGTGAGACTTGATGCGCTCAGGTCAGAATCCTCATCTACCACAACTATAATACGAGGATTAAGGCCTTTAATTATGTCAAGGAAAGCATCCCGCAAAGAAGAATCGCGAGCAGTACTCCCTTCTCTCTCATCAGACAAATAGTGTAGCCAATTTTGACAGTTTATTACTAAAGCCTCATCCTCCCTAAGTTCTAGCTCGGTAGCAGTCAACAAACTCAACAGTGATTCAAACTGAAAAGCAGAGGACTCTTTGGACAAAATTTCACCTGACGAGGACAAACAAGGGTCATCAATCACATGGAATTCAAAGGGTACATCCCTGAACTTTGCGAAATTTGCCAAACGATGACCGACGTCCTCGGTTGACGCGTTAAGCAAAGGAGGCACTGGTGGCCTGCAAGAGGGTACGGTGATTCGAAGTGAAGGAGGCCCTTCAGCCCTCTTAGCTAGGGCGTCTATTAAAGTAGGCAAGTGCATACAATGAGCGATGCTAAAATCTAATATATGAACTTTGGGGGATCCTTGAACTGCCTTAAGAATGGCGCTGTTTGATACACAAAACCCAAACCGGTGCCAAGGGATTAGATCGACATACCCGGCAAGCTCAGTCACTGTCATTCTCCTCCTCAGAGATGTGCTGCCACCATTAAAATTCATGGTTGTGGGGCAAACCCTAGATGCTCTAGAGATGAGTGCTCTCAAGAACCAGGAGGTGAGCCTTTGATTAGGGTCCCCAACAGAGGAAGCGACGTTATTGAGCACCCACATAACTTGCTGAGCCAAAGTCACATCGTTGCTCTCGAGGGCACTGGCGCAGTGAAGTAGAAGCTTCTCTGTACATGCTCCATCGAGACTACCAAGGCATCCCCTGAGTGCTCCAGTTATAGAACCGTGAGGGGTGTTGAAATGGCTAGGATTTTGAAGGGAAATGGATGTGCCGTTTCCTCTTACCTCAGTTTTCATGGTTTTTGATAGAAGGGAAAATTAAATTAAATAAGCTAAACAATGGGTTAATTAGCGTTTTGTGGAATCAACGTGCATGGAAGATTTTGATGACCCTTGATGAAGAAAAGAAAAGAAAAAAAATAAAAAATACAAAGAGGATGGCGGAGAGAAGGTGGGCTGATTTGTTTGACACGCGTATGGCTGGTATTGGTAGATGGAAATTGAAGAGCTAGGGTTTTATCTGGTCGCAGATGTGTGAACTGCCAAGTTCAACAAATATGAGGTGTTGAAGAAAGAAATCTAACACATAATTTCCTTTGTGTTTTTAATGAGTTGAAGTGTTGAGAGAGATAGAAAGAGAGAGTTGAGAGCTGGTTTATCTGTTACTTGAAGCCTATATATAGCAGGGAAAGGTCCTTGTTGAATGATTATCCACATAGCATGCAGCCAAAAAATTTTAAGTTCCATGAACCGAGACTTAGCAACTTTGCATTATAGTGATTTGAGTAGCCTGGGTTACCAGACAAGACAAAGTACATCATGAATTAATAATCATGAATAAGGTAAGTATATATTTTACTACCCCAGCTTGATCAGATCATAGGCTAACTTAAATTGCATGCATATTTTAGAAGTAATTAAAATTCCAGTATAATTTAGTGAAAATGCAAGAAAATTTTAATGTCTATTTGGATTGTCAGCCCAAAATCACTTGAAATATGACTTAATTAGATAGTACATGTACCTTTTTTCCAATCTAGTTTCTTATGAGCAAATTAGTAGTACTTATATATATATATGTATATATATGTATATATATGTATACATATACATATACATGTACTTTCCATTATATTTTTTAAGAGCAAATTAGTGGTACTTATATATATATATGTATACATATATATATATATATATATATATGCATATTGGTAGTAATACGGTTAAGAATATGCACAGATTCTTTGTGGATTTAATCATTTTTCGGATATTTTAAAGATAATTTTTTCCCACTTATTCTTAAAGTGCTCTCCACAAAGTTGAAAATTTTTTCAAAATTGGCTTTGTTCGGCTTCCTAAAATTTATGAATGAAGGAATGCTAAATTTACAGTACACAATTTAAAATTTTAATAAAAATCATATATGAGTTTAACAAAAATAAAAAATATATTTTGTATTTTTGTGTTGATATTAATTATAACATGTAATTTTTATATAAAATAGTATATAAATATATGAATTACTAGTATTTTATATGACATGAATATACAAATTATCAAGTCTTTTTCAATCATATATATTCCTTTTTAATATCACTTAGTAATATCAGTCGAAACAATTAATTAAAATATTGAAACTCTTCATCATTCTTGAATTCTTGAGTAATGATTTTGGCGTTGATAGAGCTTTCCTAAGCTAATTTGGACAATTGCTAATTATTCCCTCTCTTCACTTTCTCGTGTATTAATTGAAGTGGATGTATACACAACAGAGGGTAAAGAATAGGTTAAGGAAGCTGTCTTAGCCGGCCATTTTCTTTGTCGAATTTGTGGTCATGGAATGCCATTAAAACAAATCCAACAATTATTAGTTTAGTTAATTTGGTGTTTTTTTCATTGAGATTAGCGATTGATGTTTACCTTTCATTCCCATCCTTCCACAAACAGAATGTGTATATGTGATAAATTTGATTGCTTTTTGCCACTTGATGCCACTAGTAAAGACAAATTAGACCTGTTCCCACTGCTACAAACTCACTACTATTTCATGACAATGTCACTCCTCCACGCATGATTTGCAATGTGGCAATAGATCTTTTTTTTTTTTGGCATAAATTATTCTGATCCAAAGTTGTTTCTTTCCCTCGATCTCAATTCCTATGCGACATTTGGTGAATCAAGAAATGGAGCTTGCTACATTTGCTTTTCTGATAAAGTGAAAATGTTAAGCAGTTCACCAGGCTTTATCAGGATGCTTTTCTAATTTGACATTGCAAATTCAGGTGAGAAATGTCCTACAATATCTTGTTATTATTCATTAAAAGAAATAATATATGAATCAAATATCTATCTATAAATGTAATACCATTATCGTTCATGAGCAGATCAAAAGCTAAACCCTTAGCTAAGACACACATATGCCGTAGGCGTGTTGCCATTCTTTCATGTTAAAATAACTTGAATTCGAAATTAAAACTCTATATTAAAGGATTCTTAAGTCCTATATGTGTCTTTTTTTCATCTTATTATTTTTAATCGGTATAAGACAATCACAATCACACGTAAACTTTAATAATTATTTGAAAATATTTATTTAGTGTATTATATATATATATATATATATTAGATGATTTAATTTGTAAGATAAAAAAAGAAAGTAAGTAAAAAAAGAAATTTAAAGTAGACGACCTAAAAAGAAATGAGTGAATGTTATTAATTTGTTATCTATAATTTAATGCGTAATAATGAGTTAAAATTATAATCTTTTATATTAATGTAAGTATTAAATAAATATCTATAATATATATTAAGTTAATATACAATATATATTGTTCTTTTATTATATTATTTTTCAGAAAAAAAAAAGATAATTGTAAAGCCTTTAATTTCATATTGAGAATTTATAAGAATTTGTTACATGAACGTTTAAATATATATATATATATATATTTGAACATATACTTACAAGGTTTTTTAGTGAACAAATTGTATGATTTTAAATTAAAACGATAATATTTTATAAATTGATGCAGATTTCAAAAGTTGATATCACCAATAAATAATTTGAAAATTAAGTACCACATAACTAAGATACAGCTTCAGTCACCTCTTCCACAAGTACAACAACTACCAACGAAGAAGGTATGGTTAAACTCGAAAATATTATGAGAAAAACTAATTTTATTTCTGATGATAAAATAAAAGAATTACAACTCATCAAACCAGATGAGATTTACAAAACAAGTTGGTTTAAAAAGTTTCAACCTTGGTCTAAACGCCATATAGAAAAACTATCTGGTGATACTGTTGCCACTGATACTAAACAAGGATCAGTAGAAATTTCTCTTTTTACTAAAAAGAAAATCACAGACTTATCAATCCCAAAAGGATGGTGTCTCGAAGATCTTTCAAATACTTCTGAAAAACAGAAAGTACCAAGTTTAGAATTTTTCTCATCAGGAAAAAATCTTTATTTTAAAAATCCAAATGAATCAACCAGTTTTAATCCAAACCTGGTTTTACCACTTGTAAATATTTTTGAACATCAACCAGATGATGATATTGAGAGTATAACTAGTAACCAATCTTTTTGTACTCCTTATCGAAGTTTTTTTTCAGGATTTTATGGTACCAACAGTATAGAAACCCTCAGACGAGTAAATAGTATGGGCCAATAAGGTAATACAGATACTGCTCAAATTCTTATTTTTACCGGAGATAATCCATCTCAGCAAAGTACAGTTGATAATCAAACCCATTATCATTCTGTTAATTCTGTGATTAACTCACATACTTCTTCTTCTAGAAAACCTAGAAATGAAGAAATTAAAATGTTTCATTCTATAAATAATTTTTGCATATCTGAAGAAATAATATCATTCGTCAACAAGGTAAGATATTATACTTATATTGAAGGCTATTTTTATTTTCAAAACTATAAACCCTATAGTTTGAATATTCTGATTGACACAGGAGCAACAATCTCTAGCTGTCGTCCTAATGCTTTGCCGTTAACTAAATGGCAACCAATGAAGCATCCAATAATAATAGTAGGTATCAATGGTAAAGAAACCATTGTTAGCATAAAGGCAAAGAATATACCTGTTGCCTTAAACGATAAAAAATTCGTTATACCTAAAATATTATGTTTTTCTAATATGCATGGAGACATACAATTAGGAAATAATTTCATACATAAATATCTACCCTTTTCAGTTTTTTCTGATTATCTTGTTTTTACTATTGATAAAAAATTAATAGATGTTCATTTATTATCCAAGCACAATCATGTTTGCGATAATGGTTTTCGACCAGAAATAACAAATATTTCTAAACTTAAAGCTATTAATAAAAAACATTGGCTTTATAGAATTTTGCAGGAAAACTTCAGTGAAGACCCATTGAAGCTTTGGAAACGCAGTCCTAGATACTGTGAACTTGCTCTTCATTCTCCAAAATAGATTGTTCGAGTCAAACCAATGATCTATACCAAACAGGATATAGATGAATTTGAAGTTTAAATTTCAGAATTGCTCAACAAAGGTCTGATAGAACCAACTTTCAGTCCCCACTCCAGTCCAGTATTCTTGGTAAGAAACCATTCTGAGATTAAACAAGGTAAACCCCGTATGGTTATTAATTACAAGAAATTAAACCAAAATCTTGTTTTTGATGGCTATTTTATCCCTCGTAAAGATGTTTTAATCAATTTAGCAAAAAATGCTAAATATTTTTCTAAATTTGATTGTAAGTCAGGTTTTTGGCAAATCATGCTAAATGAAACCTCTAAACCCCTTACTGCTTTTAGTGCACCAGCAAACCATTACCAATGGACTATTATGCCTTTCGATCTATGCAACGCACCTCAAATCTTTCAGCGTTGGATGGACAGTATTTTCAGCAAACATAAACAATTTTACTGTGTATATATTGATGATATTTTGATATTTTCTAATACTTTAGATGAGCATAGGAAACACCTGAATCTTATTGCTCAAGAATTTATTTTATACGGTATAATTTTAAGTCCCAAAAAAGTTGAACTTGAAAAAACCGAAATTGAATTTCTTAGCCTTAATCTTTCTGCACACGGACTAACCCTGCAGGATCACATTATTTCCAAGATTAGAGACTTTCCAGAAGAACTGGATAATGTCAAACAGCTATAGCAGCTGTTAGGAATACTTAATTATGGCAGACAATTTTTCAAAAACCTTTCCAAAAAAGAAAGCTATCTTTTGCTTAAATTACGTAAAGATAATGATTTTGTTTGGACACCTAACGATTCTGATATTATCAAACAGATCAAATCAGATCTAACCACTATACCTAAGGTCTATTTACCTAAACAAGGTGAACTATTAATTTTAGAGACAGATGCCAGTGATGAACATTGGGGATGTGTCTTAAAAGCTAAAAATCTGCATCAAAAAGATGAATTGATTTGTGGCTACAATTCCGATAAGTTTAAACTAAACGAAATAAATTATATTATTTTTGAAAAAGAATTATTAGCCATAAAAAATGGTGTACAGCGATTTCACATCTATTTAGCCCCGGAGATCTTTGTTATCCGAACAGATGACCAAGCAGTTAAAAACTTTCTCCAAAATAGAAAGCTTTCTGATAATTCTAAGCGAATTAAGTGGTACAATTTTTTTTGTTCTTATCATTTTCAGGTAAA